TGGGTTTATCCAGATACAGCCCCATCATAAGTTGAGGAGCATCTGTACACACAATAAATGATCTAAAATTCACTTGTGCACACTGAAATTTGAGAACCACTTTGGTGCCTATAAACCATCTGGTACCTGTTAAAATGCAGATTCTGATTCATTTGGTCTGGGAGGCAGGAATTACTAGCAAGCTCCCAGGTGCGCTGGCCCTGCTGGCCCAGAGTGCACACTGAATAGAGGGAGGTTGGCCTTGGCTACTCTGTCACGAGATTCTGAAGACCTGGTTCAATTGTAGTAATAATTATCTGCTTCTAAGTATATAGAAGATAGATTTAAATCATTGAGGGAGAGGATCTTCTGAAGAGAGAGCATCTCAAGGTCAAAGTGACACAATAGCTTTTAAGGGTCTCAATAAATACCAATAATCTATTATGTTACATACTTTTTTGGTTTGATTTGTTTTGTTTTTAGCATTTCCCTCCAGGCACTACACAAGTTATTTTAATGGGGAAATAAAGTGAGAGAGAGAAACAAGAACTTTACAATATCCAGGTAGAAGCCCTAGGTGGAGGCAGGCAAGCAGTGCTTTTCTATGCTCAGAGAAGGGACCCATGTGTCCTGAGAGACATATAGCAGGAGTGTTGTTCTTGGGTTTTGTTTGTGTGTGCCCCAGATTCCAAAAGCCTCTTAAGCCACATGACGCTACTGATTTTATCACACCATTCTCTTCCCAAGCAGCGATGTGTATTACGACCAAATTTAATGATTTTATTAGCAATGTTTCAATTTTCCTTGATAGAGTATAAATCACATATCCAAATCTGCCAGTTCATTTCTGCCATTTGATGTCAAGATCACTTTCTTCCTGCCCGAGATACTGCAGAAGAAAAAAATGTTAGCACAGACACATCAAACACAGACCTGTAAAAGGACAATGGCCAGATGTGGTGCTATTCACAGCAGAGACTCCTCAGTGATATTTCTCGGTTGTGTTGGAATCACAGCATTTTACATCGTGAGACGTGTCTTCAGACTGACACTTGAGGTTGGTGATGTTATACCACTGGTAAGCATGTCATTTTATGAAGACTTGGGAAAGGCCCCAAGTTTTTATGGGCAAATGTTTTCCTTCAAATTATTCCTTCCTTGATGTGGTTCAAGGAAAAAAACCCAACAATAATATCAGTGGGCAACGGGCACATGTGTTTATGTGTGCTGCTGGGGACTGTATAAATGAGCTTCTCTCTGTTTCAATCCACAAGGTTTTATTGGTTCTGACATTTAGATAAAGCACTGCTCGAGGCACCGTGAGGAAAGACAGAAACACAGTCAGGGTTCCTGCCCTCATGAAGTTTACAAACTAAAGAGAAAGACATTCTCTCATGGTAGGATAAACGGCAGGTGCAAGTGGTGCGTGGAAACAAACTGTGATGCAGATGCAGCAAGAGCAGCAGATCTGAGGGGGCCGAGCTCATTCAAGGCTGTGGTGTCTGGCCAAGGCTTCAGCCACGGGACAGGAGGGGGAGAATGTGGAGGGGCTGAAAGAGACAGGAAAGGGTTGTTCCATGTAAAAGTGTGCTTTTACACAAAATAAATCACAGGATCAGAAACACAGCCTGGACGGTGAGTCCAGTTAGCTGACTCTGTTATGCATAAATGGGGAGGAGGTCCCAAGGCTGCTTGGGCACTACTGTTGAGGCTCACAACTTTGACCTTTCTCCTTGGGCAACAGAGATACAATAAAAAGTATTTGAGGTGAGCAGTGACATCACGAAAGTTTGTTTTGGAAGACTAACCTGGGAGAATTATGTAGAACTGAGTGAAGAAGTATTTTAAGTACTGAGCAGAGCAATGAATCTCGAGATTTTAAAGTCCTTCTAAAAGCTGAGAGTCTGTGATGATAAAATGAAATACTAGGGGCCAAAAGAGAGAGAGAGAGTGAGAGGAGAGAGAGATAATTAGAAAATGTCTGCAATGATCCTTGGGAAGGGAAAGGAAAAAATGATTTTTAAAAAATGACTAATTGAACAGTATTCTTTAACTGAATATTGAATCTCTCAAGAGGAAGTAAGACTGGGAACAAGGAAGCTGGGTCTAGTCGGCTGCCGACCCCCACCTCTGCCCCCTCTACAGTCCTCTTGTCCCCTGGCGGGGGGGGACAGTCTCATCTGGTTAGCTTACTCACTCCCCAGGCAGCAGAACATGTGCCAAATATGTAGACTGGCCCCAGTTCTTCTAAAACTAGTAATTATTGCTTAGCCTGAGCTTTACCAGCAGGCAGTTGAGAAGGACGGAGGAGGTTTGAAACATTATGTACAACTTTGGAATCACAGGCAATACACTCAAAGACTTATGAGGAAGCAATTTTAATTACTCCCTCCACTTGAGACCAAGGGAGGAGTCCGAATTAAGAAGTCTCTTAAATTGACTGAGCATACCAAATTGTGGGAACTGGGTGCTTAACAGGCAATCAGAAAGCAACCATTCAACAAAGAAACCAAATTTAAAAATCAGCTCTAAGGGGCCGGCCTGGTGGCGCACTGCTACAGTGCACCGCTTGGGAGTGCGGCGGCGCTCCCGCTGAGGGTTCGGATCCCACATACAGACAGGCTGCTCACTGTCTGAGCGAGTTGCGGGCGCAACACCGAGGGTTGCGATCCTATTGCCGGTCCCGGTCCGGTACGGGTGTGACACCGAAGGTTGCGATCCGTTGCCGGACACGAAAAAAGACAAAAAAAAAAAAAAAAAAATCAGCTCTAAGTGCTTATGCCCTATTAGAGATAATTAGTCAAATAAACTTATTTTTGTTTGTCTTTCTCAACCAATCCCAGTTTGTTGGAGTAATTTGGGGGATTCCTTATTATAGAGAAAAAAATAAAATGGACATTGAAAACAACAAGCACTGGTGACATGCAAGCCTATTAAGTGAACAAAATAATTATAATAATTTCCAGGACATCTTTATTGTTGTGTTTAAATAACGGCTTTATAACTAAAGTGAAATTTCTCACATCTGTAAAAGTTGAGTGATGTACTCCATAAATAAAGAAGGCATGTGTGTTATAATTATGCCATCCAAAATCTAATTCCTGTGTCTTCGTATCTTACAAGTGAAATAGAGCAAGGAGGTACTCAAGCAATATAAAAAATAAAATACTTCCATATGCAGTGATTGAACTTTTAATGCAATTGAAAATCCACTTTAGTGGGAAACTAACATTTAATGAGCCCCTACCATGAGCTTTTAGGTGGTAGGGGGGTAGACAGGGAAAGGGTAGAAAGCTAAATAAGAGTGCCAGTCAAGATGGCAGAATAGACGGTCCCCAGCATCGCTCTCTCCCAGAAATCAACCAATTTACAACTATATAAAAAAGCAACAACAGCCAAGGTGGGGCCACTAGAGCTCAGGGGAAGAGGAGGAGAGACCTACGGAGTTCATGAAGGCGGGAGAAGCCACGATGAGAGAAAGAAAAAACCGCTCTGATTATTTAGTGCTGCAGCCACTTTAAAGCTGGAACTGCTGAGCACATGGAGCAGAAGCCGGGAGAAGCCACACCTGTGCCCTTCGGATGAAGTTGCTTGGAGGTGGCAGGGGAGAAGAGGGCCCTCGTGGCCCCCAGGCCAGCAAGACCACTCACTAATAGGGTTCCTGTGGACCCACATAGAAGCAAGGAGCCACAACAACTGAAAAAATGGAGCCAGTCAGAGGCTGGTGAGTCATCTTAAGGGACTGGGGCAGGGCCCGTCCCATGGGAAATGTTTGGAGCAAGGGTGGTGGGGGAGATTGGCTCATTGGGGGATCACTGAGGCACAGCAAGGACAGCTGATCTGCCCCCCAGTCAGCCTAGGACCACTCAGAGGAGGCTGGTCAGGAATATAGAATTGCATGGGGTGCAGTTTGATGAAAAGACTCAGGCCCAGATCAGAGTTACTACACAACCCAGGTGCACCAGGTCTCTGGAGAGATGGAAGTACCTATTAAGTTAACCATTATAACCTGAGCTGCACAAAAAGCCTTGCCTAGGGAAGCAGCAGCAAAGCAGCAATTTAGCTCAACCACACAGCTCAAGTACTGGTCCCAACAGGAAGTTCCTCCACTTTAGAAGCAAAGGACACAAAAAAATTAGTGCTGGCTCAGACACACCGCCAGCGCCTTGGGTCTTCCCAGGGACATAAGGCATGAAACTGGGGACAGGACCCCCCTCCAACAACCAGGCACACTGTGCCAGTGCCTCAGGGCCTGCCCAGGGATCCGAGGTACGGAGAAGGCGACTGGAACCCCCCCCTCCCACAACCAGGCACACTGCCAGTACCTCAGGGCCCACCCGGAGATCTGAGGGATGGAGCTGGGGGAAGGACACCCCCCCACAACCCGGCACACTGCCAGCACCAAGGAGCATGCCAAAAACATCACTTCCATGTGGGTGGCCAACCAAAGCCACCACAATAACCATGGCTGCTACCAAAGTGGCTAGACACCACAACCACCATGCAGATAGTCCTCTAGGCACTGGAGTGCATTGACACAAGGAGAGCCACCAGCAGAGATAAAGAAAAGAAGGGGATGTCTTTCTCACAAAGCCCATTCCAGAGAGACAGAAGAAGCATCTGCTCTATAATACTGGGGGACCTGATCACACCTTTCAGCACTGGACAGATCATCTAGGCAACAAATCAACAGAGTAACCATTATTCTTTCAGAAGGAGAAAAGAAATCTAGCGTAATTAGAGGGGGGAAGGGGAGGTAGAGGGGGATGGGGCAAGATTGGACAAGGGCCATAAAGAATAATTATGATTTGTAACAATATATATGCTAGTAATATTGGTTTGATCAACATATCTCAATGGTGAACCCCAAAAATATGTATAATCAATTTTGACTCAATAAAAATTTTTTTAAAAAAGAATGATAAATAAGATGCAAGCCTCATTCCTGAGTCATTCACAATCCATGCTCCATGTAGAAGGCACAGCTTTGTATAGTTGTGTTGAAATAAGAATAATAAAGGCAAGATATAAGTGTTTTAATAAAATTACTATGTGTTATGAAAAGATGGCACATAAAAAAGAAGTTACTTCTAATTGGGGTAATGGGAGTGCAATTTATAGAGTTTGGGAGAGAGGAATGACATTTAGCTTGAACATTTTAATTTCAACATGTTTAAAGCTACCAGACTTACAGGTACATTTCATATTATAAACAAACTGTAGTTTTACATTAACTATAAATTAACCCAAGAAAGTCAGGTATCATTGTGCTAACTGGCAGGTCAAAGTACTCCCAGGACTCCTGTGGTTTTCTTAGCTCATCTATATGCAAGTGTTAAGGCCTCTCCCAGGCTAATTCAGATTAGGAACAGGATACAAAATTGCATAGTCCTTATACACCAAATTGGTCAAATGTATGCAAAGAAAAACTGAGAAGGCAATACTCTCATGTCAACCCTGGGTATCTCTAAGTGGTGGGAATACAGGTGATTTTAAAATTGTGTATGTATTTATTTGTATTACATATTTTCTCAATAGACACACAGTACTTATTTTTAAGTCAGTTTTCCTGATTATATATTTCTTGATTTATTATTATAAAAATCAGTTTTCCTGATTGCAAAAGTAGTACAAACACGCACGAAAAGATATTTCAAAAAGTTCATGAAAGATTCATATTATCTTTTAATTCTGTTTTTCTATAAACTTTTTGAAGTACCCTCGTACATACATGTATTTTTAAAATACAGCAATATAAAATTGTAAAAAAGCAGAAAGCAAAATCCCATGTACTCCAGCCCCAAAGATAATCTCTTAACATTTGGGTATACTTCATTCCAGATGTTTGCCTTATGCATATAGAAGGCATATCTATTACTTTCATAATCAGAAAACTATATATAAATGGTAAATTTTAAAAAAGATCATTTTCTGCCTCTAACTCTTTAAAAATAAATATCTCTGTAACAATAAGACATCAGAGGTGTTTGACTTTGTCCTTTTATTCACGAAAACACAAGCACCAGGAAATGCCTTAAATGACCCAGACAGTCTGTGCATTATAACATTATAGGGCCCAGGGGTATGTTTTGGACACTTAGCCAGGACAAGAGGCTGTTACAGTGGCCAATTAAGAGGCACTTTTATGAGGGAGAAAATACTTTCTGCAAGAAGGATTTCTAGTGACCAATCCACTAAATGCCTTTGCTCTGTGTGTGGCACCTGCTGCTGCTTTGCTGATTAGTTAATAGCAAGTCCTATGTCTTGGGTACACACATTGTCACTGGAGGGGCGGCTGTAAACCCAAATTGCTGGTGTCACCTGATAGCTGATGGAGTATACAGCTGTTTTCCCCACCTTAGATCTTTCTTCTGCTTTTTCAATAAAACTTCTATAAAAGCAGAGCAGTACAGGAGCAAAGAAAGTACACAGTGAACACCTCCCAGACGCAGGGGGGCCGAAAGACGATGTACCTGGGTAAGGGAGAAGAGAACAACATGCTGCAAAGGCAGCCACAGCCTGTTCCTGGACAGTCACCATGGCCACGTGCCAGCAGGATGAGGGGATGGCTCCTAACCTTCTGCCAAGTCACACACTGAGCACTCCAGGCAGAATGAGGAACTGATCTTCCCAACTGGTGGAAACAAAACCTGGTGAAGGTCACAGTCTTCCAGAGCAAGACAAACCAGAGGCACCACTGAGTCAGCAGAGAGAGAGAGAGGAGTGTGTTAGTGGTCCCTTTGTTGAGAAAGTGGGCCTTCTGTTTGTGAGAGAGAACAGTGCCAGGAGAAGGGCTGCTCCCAGAAAGCTGTGGGCTGCGCTCAGCAAGCCTGGTCTAAAGACCAGCCAATCTGGCTTGTGAATCTGGACTCACAATGACCGTAGGATGATGGCCCAAGGCAGATGTGAACAATATGGGGCCACAACAGTGTACTCTGCTTTTGTTTAAAATGGATTAGGGACTTGGAGAATAAACCAAATGGGCAATAAGCACACAACTGGATCACATCTTCCTAAGACGCTCAGCCACCTCACTGGCCATCAAATCTGTGAAGCCGCTGTCTCCTCATTTCTTCTTCTGGTGAGAGACGAAACCCATAGGCTGGGGGGCTGTTTCTGGTATTTCCTGTGGTGAGAAAGCAAAAGGGAAAATCAAACACTGCCTCTCCATCGTTCTGACATTTATAAGGCACTGTGCACCCTAAGATTCCAGGGGGGAAAATAATAGCTTTGGTGTCTTTATTTTAACATGAAACAGAAACATAACAAACATATTTCAACTTCAGCTATCAATACTAAATTTCAACATCACGTAAATATTTTTAGTGTGGTTCAGTTCATGAACCTAATTTGACTCATTCTGAGGCTTCTTGATAATCCTCCCACTTTCCTTTTCCTTCCACCATCCTCCATAATTTGCATCATTTAAACTTCCATAATGCCTCAAGGGCTTAGTGTTTTGTTTTTTAGGCCCGGGTATAACTTTTAACCAACTCTACTAACTTCCCCACCAACTACACTGGTTGGCTTCTCCTATCAGCCTTTGGGTCCCCCCTTTTCCTCCCTCTAACCTGCCACCTCCTGCACCACTCCAGCCAATCAGAATCTTGCCTGACTGAAACACACAAGCCCCCTCAGGGGCAACATGGACCAAGGAGCTGGAGCAGAGTTTCATACTGATAAATATCTGGGCAGGCAGACCAAAACACAGGCATAATATTTAAAGGTCATATGAAGGACCAAAGAAATTATTACTGAAAAGGGCTTCTTGGGGGCTGCAAACATACCGAAAATATAGTTTGTAATGATGTAAGCATTTCAATCACTACATACAAAACACCCTCCCAGGCATCATGGGGAGTAATAAAGGAAGAAAAACATATAGTCCTTGATCTCAAGGAACCAGCAACCCAAATCTAATGAAAGAGCTCCAATATTCCCAATGAGGCAGCCAGGCAGAAGCATCACTAATATAAGGGTGCTTTAAAAAGTGTGTGAAAAGATCCATATTATCTTTTAATTCTATTTTCCCATGAACTTTTTGAAGCACCTCGTAGACCCTGGTAAGTAGCAAGTTTGCTTTTAAGCATGTAGACAAAAAAGCCTGGACCTTTTCACTTCTATGGTTCTGCTAACTCTGCTAATTTGCCCCGAAAGGCCCTCTCCCATCACCTGCATCAACCCAAAGTCTTATTCTTCCAATGCCTGGCCACCGCTGATGGAAGGACTCTCTCCCGGTCCAAACTCTTCAGCTTGCAGCAACCTCCTGTTGGCTGGCCTCACTCAGCAGTCACTACACCCTGCCAGACAGTGTAGCCATTTGTGCACACCTCTCCTCTCTCCTACTAGGATCATAAGCTCTACAATGGCAAGGGACATCTCTGACATTTCTCTCTGCTTCCCAGTGCCTGGGACAGACCTGAACACATAGCAGCTGTTCAATAAACATACCGACTTGACAGCACCTGCCTGTGACTTCCAAAGGGAAAGACTACAGCCAGACAATGACATCCAACACTGCCCACTGAGGTTCTGACATGACTGACTCACAGGGCTGAATATTCCAGCAGCACTGGCCTAGCAGGGGAGGGTGGGTGGGCGGGGCATTCAAGCCAGGAGGGAAAGCAAGTGACCAGGTGATCCCTCCTGCTCATTCCCCAAGAGTGGCACCTTATGAACGATGTTTTCATTTATGTTTATATTAACATGACAATTGGTAAGACTATAATGAAAAGATGTTAGAGAAAGCAGTGGAAACTAAGAGTCAGCCTGTTCAATCCACAACTGGAATTTCAGCTGGCAGGCAAAGAGAAATTCAAAAAAGGTAGTCAAAATGCAACCCTTTTTATGTTTTTGCTTCACCACTCTGATGGGGACCCCAATGCTTACGTATAACTGTTTCTCCTTTCCTGTTGAGACCATGGGAGATCATAGCTCCTGAACCCCTTACAGTCCTTCCTGATTAGTACACCCAAAGTGAACCAACAGGCCTATCCCCCATGCTCACTCCTCCTGGATAAAACTTCAAGACTTTTTGATATAGTGAAATACATGTTAATTTATTAACTTTCATTAAAGATGATATTCATATTATAGGCTTATAAGACTTTCACCATAAATATTTTATGAATACAATAAAATTAAAAGTTTCACTGGATACAGTTTTTGCCTTATGTAATTGTAAAGGAATTTCTTTGTTCAAAATGGTAAAATACTTTGAAATCACAAATTCAGGAATCAAATCACCATTAGTTTATTTCTTATAATTGTTTTATGTGATGAGATCCAAATCCCACTTTGCCTTTAACAGTTGTTTTTAACAAGGCTATTCTTAATTGCACTTACAAGTGCAGGCCAGTATTTGACACCCCGTTCCAGATGGCCAGGGACCTCTGTTAGCACTAGCTGTGGGCAGAGCCAGAAGCAGACTCAACGTGGCATGTTGACTCCGGGCCACAGGGCAGAAGCCCATGGAAGCTAAAAGAGTGCTCAAATTCCCAAAGGGAATCACAGTGTCCTCTGGTGTTTTCTTCAGCTTTTCCTTAAAAGAAAAAGTCTGAGGATTAATGTTTCTGTGAAGGGAAATGCACAGAGGAATGAGAGGAGGCAGACTGTGAAGGTTCCTGAGGTCCAGCTCTCAAAATGAGCAGCCAGCACACATGCTCTTTGGACCCATTTGCAGGGCATTCAAGGAGAACCAGGGCTGAACCAACAGAAAAAATGCCACATGTTGAAGCAGAAAACTCCTGTGAAGAGGGGAACAGTAATCACTCTTTCACACGTAGAGCTCTTTCAAGGTGCCCTATGTCACGTAGCTTGTACTCCCAATGTAGTCATCCCAATTTTACAGATGAGGAAACTGAGGCTCCGAGAGTGTTAGGGACACATCTAAGATCATAGAGCTAGCACAAAAGGAGGCAAAACTTGAACTCAGGGCTTCTGACTCTTCCCACATCGCCATCACTTCTCCCACACCAGGTGTGTGAAGCATCATACCCTCTCGCCATCCCTATCTTCCTGCCAAAACCCAGAGTGTCCCTTTTCTTCATAGATATGTGGCGAGCTCACTGCTATTGGAAAACAGAAAAATAAGAAGGTCTGATCTAAGCCCTCAACTCTTTGGGACTCTACTATTATCAAAGACGTCACGTGACTCTAAAGTCCCAATACAGGCCTCCTTAAATTTCACTGGCTCCTAGAGTGCTTCGGCTTTCTAGGAGGATTTGGCATAACAACACAACCGAAGCACTGTAGGAGGATTTGGCATAACAACACAACCACCACCTCAACAATGCTGATTGGTAATCAGGCCTGATGTTATGGGTATTTTAAATCCTTCAAACTCAGTGTTTCTGATGATATCAAAGCCACCCTACTGTCTGAAGAATGAATGGCTGAACTGCTTTGTTTCAGGCTCTAAACACTACCCTGTTATAAATCCTAGTTAATTTTGGGGGAAGATTTTTAAGTGTAAATTAATCTTTGGTATTTCGAAGAGAATCATACATTTGATGTCAGTTGCTCACCCATACCGTCCGCCATGTGTGTGCTTTGGCTCAGTGCCACACCAGGGACAAGGCCTCCTGGCTGTCCACTCAGTTTCAGCTAAGCTCTGTCTTTCAATTCCCCACCTTTGCATTTATTTTTTAAACGCTTTCTATATTTCACTTGTGTCACATGATCTATTACTTCTCTCCATAACCTCTAGGATCCTCTGCAGGCATTTCTTAAGGGTCTTATCCTTGTGTTCCCAATATATACTTACATTTGCTAAGCACACAGAAAAGGATCTGGACAAGCCTTCGCTGGGTAGTGAAAAGAGATGTCCCCAGGGTATGATGGAAAAAATGTTGGTAGGGAAATTAGGAGATGGCTTCCCAGCTCTGCCTGGAGCTAGTGGAGACACCCTAGATGAGACTCTTTATTATAGCAGGCTCTAGTTTGTTCACGTGTGAGGAGAGGCTGCTGGACAAGGTGATCACCAGGGTCTCTTCCAGGACTCTGGAGTTTGACAACCTGGAATTAAATCCCCACTCCTCCATTTTTTTTAAGGCATACATCCGTTAGGTTACCTTTTCTTGGTCTTAGCTTCCTTGTCTATAAAATGGGAACATTAAGAGTTGCTCCTTTGCTGGGTTGTTGAGAGGATTAGAAGGGTTGGTACACATAAATGCTTGGCTGAGGGCAACACGGGCAGTAAATGCCCACTGAGCACTGCACGTTATGATTCTTAATCTCTATCATCATCAAGAATCATGTATTAAAAATCTACTTGTTTGTATCATTAACTAACTCTGTATAAGACATATACAAAATAAAATGACAAAATCAGTGACTTCTTAAAAGACAAAGCCCAATTCTGTTTTTGCAGACCACTCAGCAGTGCTTTGTACAAAATGTGGAGTTGCTAGTTACTACATATTTGCCTTCTAAGAAATAGATATAAAAAAGGTAATTAACAGCCTTCATTGAGCAGCACACTTTTGTAACACAGAGGAGCCTTTGGGTCACTGGGAAAGTCTGGAATGCCCAGCCAAGACCTTTTCTCTGCTTAATCATTCATCGAATAACTTACAGGCCTGGGTGAAACAGCCTTGCTCCGAAGAACTTGGTACAGAATATTAGTATTTATGAGCCTTGCCTCCGTGTTCCTGTAAATGGAGGTCAGCCCTCAATTTTACTCAAAGAAACAGTGAGCATGCTTCAAAGAACCTCAGGAACACTGCCCAGTTTAAGATGATTTAGCTCAATTAGAGCACCAATAATTAGATCATGAGATTTATTGGTTTGTAGTTCCTGATGGAAAAATGTTCACTTCTCTACCCTTATGTATAATGCAGTAACCTCTGCGTTTTACATCTATGGGAAGAGGAGCAATTTTATCCAGATAAGAATTGCTAAAAAGAACACCATGAGCTGATGGCTATTCTTCCTACTGTCCGCCATCCCTGTAAATAGAGATGTTTAATTTGCTGGTATTCATAGATACTGCCTATGATCTGAGGAGCACTCTACAGCATTCAGTGAAATTATACTAAAGTGAAGTTGCAAGATAGCAGAATATCTTTCCCTTAAATTAGGGAGCTGAAGAGGCAATCACTTTTTTTTCTTCTTTTAAATGGAGAA